CAACATACATAGGCCCATGTAAAATATTTCCTCCAGTCACTCTTTATCCCACTGGGCCATTTCATTTTATTCACAGCAATTCTTGCTCTCTGAAATTATTTTTTTCAATGCTTATCATCTGTATCTCCTGCTAGAAATGTAAGCTCCCTGAGAGCAGGGGCCTTGTCCACCTTGTTTGCTTCTATAGGCCCGGCAACTGCATAGTGCCTCGCGCATAATAGGCAAGCAATAACTATCTGAATATGTGAAAGTGCTGTTATACAGAGGTTTCTGTCCTGTAAGTCAGTTGGAGTTGGCCTGCAACACAAAGATTTAGCATACAGTTTGCTCCATGAGCTCTGCTGTTCAAAAGCCTTCGGTTTGCTCTGCTGTGTGGATATTGATGCTGAGATAATTCAGGGAGAGTTCTGCTACTACCTATGGAGCAAGCAGCTTCAAATCACTGGGCACTCTGCCTACCAATCCAGATTCTCTCAATGTCTGTTACTACTATCAAGGAGTGATTTTTGTAGCTATGTCAACTCTAACAATTTGGAAACTGCTGTTTTTCAAGTCTTATTTTAGATAATGGAATAGGTCTAGCTGTGAAAAACTTAGAATCTTAGATCCTGTAGATTTACTAGTTAACTATTTTGGGACATCTCACTAAAAATAACAGTGATTACTCTCCTGAAAATGTAAAACACAAGCAGAAGCAGTGAGTAAATACAAATAAGGAGAAAATGTTTCATGTTTCATTTTCATTCGAAGCACAAAAAGGACAGCTAAATCTGTTTAGACAACCACTTATATTATCTTGAGGGGGTGAGAGAAGGAAATGACAGTAAAGACACGAGACCTGCATTCAAATAGTATGATCTTATTACCAGATCTAATGAAATGCCCAGGAGAGACCCAGAGTCTCATCCAGTTAATGTCCCCATGGCCTTCACTTTCAAAAGTGACTCAGTTTGGAGAAGAAATTATAAAATTACCCAACATATATAATTGCATATGCAGAACTGTTGGCTTTCTCTATGGCACACTATGAGGGACTGTTCAGTTCTGTATCTGAAGTGCTGCCTTCTTAAACAAACCAAAAAAAGATGCAGTAAACAAGTTGCTAGTGTTGCCTTATCCTGTTATATAGATGCTTGACTTAGTAAGGGACTAATCATTCCCATTGAAGTCTAGCTTGAGGCTTTTTGCCCAATATAAAATAACATTTTCTGGCAGAGCAGATTGCTAAACATTAGGAGGTTATGAAATTGCCTCTCCCAGCAGCTGTTCTAAAGAATAATTATCAAATTTCTTGAAGTGGCTTAAATATAGACCTGTCTGAAAGTAAAGGACTGGTTTATTTGATCAATCATAACTTTTCAGCCCTGAGAATTCTGTGAATTTGTAATTGTAGACTAAATTAAGACCTTATACTTGAAGATAGAAGATTGGAATTAATTTATCATCATAGAATCAATTTCTAAATGAGCTTAACATGCTCATTGAAGAACCTGTGTTGACTGGTGGAAGAGCAGTCTTTAAGTGCATTATTATAATAACTGCATAATTTAATAACTGTCCATTAAAATCATAGTTATTATCTGATTTGATGAGAGTTGGTAAAGGTGAATTTTAGTATGACAATGGTATGTTTTATTAGAAAATCCCTACAGCACATTTGAAGTTGAAAGGAAAATTCCTATGATACTCATTAGTCTTAAGGTTAATTTTTAAAAAATACATTTCCCCCCAAAATATTGTAAATCTGTACCACATTAACATAATCTTTTCAGCACTGATCTGAACATTTGTTACTAACTCATTTTTGATCTAGCCATCTGCTGAAAGCTCAGTGGCTATTGTAACGAGAGGGATGACTTATGAATTGAGTCCATAAATTCTGAACAATGACAATTGACAAAAATTAAACCTCTATATGTATTATCATTTATTCAATTTCTAAATGCTTTATTATTAAAAAGTCAGACAAAAATTATCTCTGTGGACTGTCTCTTCTATAATTTTTAAAAACATTCAGTGTCAGCTTTAGTCTTTTCAGTCTGAGAGTAAATAATCTGCTGCCTCATAATGATGCATGGAATTTCCAGAAATCTAATGTAAACGATGTCTTTTATGGGTTAATCTACACCCCCCAAATTTTGTTAAAACATCAGGTAGAAATGCTGGCATTTTCTTCTTAGTCTCATCAGTATTATGTATGACCAGGTCTGGGAAAGAAAGAATAAGAAAGTTGAATGCTTGAATTCACAGTTATTGTGTTCATGCAACCATGAAAATCCATTATCAAAGTCTGGTGGAGTCTGAGAGGTATGTAGATCAGAGCATTTAATTAGCATTGTTTTGGGGGTTCATTGTTTCTTTTATTAATTTATCTTATCCAAGACTTTAAGAGTCTTTGCAACCCCTCCCCTTTTTGTACAATTACTTGCAAAATATTTCTCATTGCCAAATATCACAGTGACCTGGCCTTTGGGGCTACATGTAATGTACCATTATTTACTTCACAAAATTTATAAAACTTATTCCTGTCTATCATATCACATCTTTAAATTTTACCACCAATCCAGGGGCATTTTCTATCAGGTTTAGTCAGCTTTAGAAAGATGCAAATATTAACAGCACAGAGAGACATTATCTTGCCTTCAAGGTATTTTAGTAAATTGGAGCTCTATATATGTAATAAAATTTTGTAATTATTACTTGTGCTTCTCAATTAATGAAACTAGAACTTAGAAAAATAAATATTGGTTAGTTTTTTCTTCTTATATTTCCCAGGAAAATATACATGTAAAAAGGATGACATAGTTGATGATTTTTAAAGAAATACAATATTTTGAGTAACAATAGTGGGATTCTACCATAGCTGAAAATATGGACAGTATAATGTTTAATGAGATAGTTATCAGTTCAAGCTATGGCCAACATAATTTCAATTGACTTGCTATAATCTATTGGAGTGAAGCATATTTTATTTGGAAACTTTTAAATTATACTATCTTTGGATAGTTAAAAAATAAAAATTGAAAACAATGTTTATATTTTATTACTGGGAGAAGGAAAGGATTTTGATGTTTACTGAGGGATAAGAAGCAAAATAAGAACTTTTTGTCTCCCTTTGCCATTTTTTCTGTCACTTATTGCCAGACCACCCAGAAAAAAGGATTTATGTGTCGTCTGGCAGGATTTTATGGGCTAGAAATAGTTTGACTAATCATCTGAGTAACGTCACTCCCTCTCTCCCACTGAATATTTTGAGTTCCTAGATACTGGAGGCCATATTTTATGTATTACTGTAGTTAAGGGGATGATTTTGACATAGATTTTTGTTAGGTAGCACTGATAGCACTTACAGTAAGAGCTGAGGAATAAGAATAGTTAAATTTGTAGGTAGAGTGATGAAAATAAGTCTATTAAATGAGATGGAAAATATAAGGAGGTGCAATTTATTCTAGCAAATTTTATTTCCAAATTTCTAAAAGAAGCTAGAAAACACTAAAAAAAAGATTATTGACAGTTTTATTATACTCCTTGAAAATATTTTTAAATGAGGCAAAACAGATGATCTTTCAATGTTACTCCATGTTCTCAAGCTATTTTTTTTCTCTCTCTCATCCCTTTCTCCCTCTCCCCACTCCCATCACATGTACACACACCTAAATTTTTCATAGTGACACCACACTGAATTCAAATTTAACATCACTATCCTGAATCTTGTAATAGCTTGTGATCCCAGGAAATGATACAGTTGGGTGTTTGGTGTCTGGAGTATAAACAAAATCCTAAAGTAGAAGACAAAAAGGAAAGGCATGATGGGGAACAGAAAGCTTTACTCACTCTATTCCTAGTTTAAAATCTACACAAAATAACCACAGGGTCTCCATGTTAATCATGAGAATACACACTGAGTACTTCTTCAATGTCAATGTAAAGATTGATAGTGACATGTACCACTCTGTAAAGATGTCATTTCCACAAGGAACATAGCAAAGATTCTCAGCAAATTTGTATCCAGTCTACTCCTGGCCAACATTTTAGCATACTGAATTACAGTGAGTGTTAAGTGGTAAATAAGCTGCTATGTAAATGTTTGGTGAGGTTTTCAATGTTACAGATAGCTCCTTGAAAAATAGACTACAGAAATCAAAGCTTTTCACTCTGAAATTCTTTGATAAGTTCTTTGGACAGTTTTTGTGTTTCTTTCTTAGGACCTTTGAAGATGTATTGTCATGTCTTAATCAACACAAGAAAGTAAAGATTTTTGTTTCAATCATCTAGTGCAACTGACTTTTTGTTTGCAATTTCCAGCATTATTCCATGTGCCTGACTGTAACATACTGTCTGTTGATTACTAACTAACTGGTACATACGGTGGTTGCTATATTTAATATAGTAAACTTGATCAACTCATTTATTTTGGTATAAACCTGTTGCTGCCCTCTGGAGAATATTGTTGGGTAATGCAAAAGTGTAAATAAAGTTATCTATGTAAATGCAGATTGTTCCAGTTAGAAAACTAGAAATTGTACAAAATATGTTCACTTTATAGAAATGATTCAAACTTCTAGTTTTCCAGGTTCCTATAAGATGAACCCTTTTTACCTTATACACACTGCATAATTATTAGACCAAAAAATTTCCCCCAACAGTGTGCAAATTAAAAAGCACTTATTCTGAATTTAATTTCTTTCTCAAAATAATGATTTGATGCTATGTGTACCCCAACTGGGGTGGGTGGGGGAGGGATTTAGTAGAAACCCCATATAAATAAAGTGTATACAAGAAATTTTAGAAAAGCTATGATGGTGGTATATTGGTAAATGAAAAATCTATTCTCTTTGCCATTTTTTATCACTTGCAGACGTAACATCCTTACCTGTTTGATAAATTTAGTATTGATTGTTTCTTATCATTAACAAGTACATCTAAGTTATTTAATTGCTTGTTATGCAAGTTATTTGGACTTCTAACTAACTTCCTTTTTTTTTCTTTTCTCTCCCCAGAAAAGATGGCATTATGAATCCAGTATGTTAATTTCCTCTTGTCAATTTTAAACTTTGGTTGTTTCAGACTGAAGCAGTCATGGTGAACCTAAGGAAAGCGGTGCATTCATTCCTGTAAGGAAGTTACTTATTATTTTAAAAAAATAACTTTTTATGTTAGCTTTTTTGAAATTGTTAAAAACTTTTACATGATCATTCAGCTATATTTGCCTCAGTCTTCCCAAGTGACTTGTATTCCAATAGACTGATTTCATGGGTGCTTCCTATTCAAAAATAATAAATGTAAAAAGACCCCAATAATTTGGACTCCAGTTGAACACAAGGGCTCATATATTCAAACAAGTAATATGGTAATAATATCCTCAGTTCAAAAATAATTCCAGTGTCATTGGTGGCTTTCTCCAGGTTAAAATGTAGAAATGAGAAAGGTTCTTTCCTTTTCTTTCCTGCATGAACTGAATAGTCAAGAGAATAAAATATCTTTGTAAGCCTCTGTTTTTATGAACAATGGTGAGATTGCAAAGGAATAGGTCAGAAGTCAGGGAGTAGGGGTTGGAAGATACAGCTGCACAGAGGAAAACAGTGCCATCCTCAGAAGTCTTGAGAGAGTGACCCAGGAAAGTCAATAGAATATAACATGAAGGGATAAAAAGAGAATTGTATTCATGTATTGAGTAAGTCTAAATATGATCTAATCCAAATATGTGTTCTTCTTAACTTAGTAAAATGTTGCGTTGGTTTCTTCTAAACCTATGCTCTAACAAACGGGGCATGAAGAAAGATCCATTGCTCTGTGAACACTGATCATAGAGAAGACTTGAATGGCCTTGCTCCTACACAGCCTCCTCTGATTCCTATAAAAGAGCCTACCCAGGAAAAAGTTTACAGAATTAGTGTAGATATAAAGTGCATCAACACTGTAATATGTGCCGCGGTAGCCCACCTTGGATGTCATTGTACGTTGTGGTGATGATAGTCTCAAGGATGCATGATTCCAAGAGAACTAGAGCCGACAGGAAAGGGGACAGGTGAAGGGAAGTGATAAAGAAGGGAAAAGAAGATTCAGGTATGGGAAAATGAAAGGACAAATTTCCTACCTGTGCCAGCTCAGTATGTAGCCATTCATCCATATACCAAAATAAAGGGCTACTTTAAAGAACACCAAATAATTCTGGTATTAAATTAAGAAATACCTATTGATTTTTCCATTCTATTAAAAGAAACAAGGGACCATTCATCTCTTTTAATAATGCCTATTGCCATATGCCATGCAGAAATTCAGTAGATTGAAAATGTACTCACACTTTTGAGTCAAATTATCTTTTTGCTTATCTACTAAGAATGTAAAATTGTATCTTCATTAAAAGTTTAGTAACAATGAATAAATTAGTTGCATTGTTCAGAGAAAATTTTGATTATTTTTGTGTGTGTACATATTTTATGAGACTTCTCTGGGTTTAATAGCAAACAGCATAAGCTTTAGGAGCAAGACCTGAATTACTCCTCTTTTGTAAAAGGACTGTATATATTTCACTAAGCATATAAATATTAGAAATTAGGTTTAATTATAATACAGCCAATTTTTTATTACAAAACTCCAGAGAATAGGATTGAACTGCAATGAGAATCATAAAAGTTTGCCTATAAGTAGTACTCAGTAACAGTTTATTAAATTGAATTGAAATCAGACAACTGAAATAAATACTCTTTCAGGATCTTTCCCAGTACCAATACTTTACTTTCTGGTTCACAACAGATATATTTAGATTCCACAAGCTTTCTCAATAATTCAGAATTTGTCTTATGTACTCTTTAATAAAAAATAAAATTATATCTGACCAGTAAAGAGAGGCAAAATGACTACTTGAAATATTTTTTTAACCTCAAAGTTCTAAGATACTCAAATTATAAAAATGATTATTATCCATAGTTTCTTATTTTTTAGTTGTATACAGTTTTATCCTGCATATCTCTACTATTTATAGAGAAATATAAAAGGGCTTAGATGTTTCTACAATTTACTTACTTAGAACTTGAAGTTTAAGGTCCTAACAGACTGCATATTCTGTTAGGACCTTAATCTCTGGGCTTAAGGACAAATACTTTGTCCTTCTGTACCTGACAACTGAAGATGTAGCATTTTATTGTGGGCATAGAATCTTGTAAAACTACTTGAGATGATCATCAGCTAATTTAAACCAGAAAAAAAAATTTCTAAATGCCAGAAGGACACATTTTTTCATCAGCTAAGTCAGAAAAGATTCCAGATGTAAAATTACTGTCTGAGCCCAGTTCTGCATAAATAGATATAAAGTCAGGACTTAAATTCTTCACCCATTTTGAAATATATGAGTTGGGGTATAGTTACCTTAAAATACTTTGGTTTAATTTTGAAGGCAGAAAGAAGGTAAGCTCCAACATTTACAACAGTTACTATTTTCAGGACTTTTCATATAGCATTTAAGTTTCACAAGAATCATGTGATAGAGATTACCCGCATTGTACAGATGAGGAAATTGAAGTTCTTAGAGTTTAGGTGACTGGTCAAAAAAAAAAGATTGAGGTGATGTAGCCAGAACATTGGCCTCATGCCAAATGCAACACAGTGACAGAACAATCAAAGCTGAAAGCCAATTACTTGCTTCTATTTATTTGATCTTTTGTTTCAATAATTTTTCACTTGCATTAATCACAGATTAATTGTGATATAGATTTTTTGAATGATGTATAACTTTAGCTTACTTTTTTATGTTGCAGGAAAATAATACAGCTAGCATTTGAAAGAATTTATTGATTACTTTTTTTTGATAGAAGTTGCTACATATGTCACCCCCTTCCTGATGGCTAAGAATATCAGGTAGCTTTGACTAATAAAGAAGTAATTTTAAGCTAAATGTCTGAAATACTAGTTTTCTATCCCTTGTAGAATGAGAAAGTCAAAATATTGTCATGACTTCTTTATTACCTTAAAAGACATCAAAGTATATTAATAAGATATTAAGGGAAATAATTTTTTGTTAGAAAATTATTATATTTTTACTTAAGTTTAAATAATGACAATAATTTTTCAGGCTAAGTGTTCCAGTTTTGCTTCAGGAAGTATGGCATATATATATAATATTAAAGATCTGATATAATTATGATAATCATCTAGCTTTACTACCATAAATTTCTCTGGTGATTGGCAAGAAGTGATAAGTCAATCAAATCACACATATATTCTCCCTGTATGGAGATAATATTTTTTGCTCAAAGAACAAGTTAATGAGATAATGAAATAAAAGCATTAACATGGAGAACGCAGACTTGGATGTTGAAATGTTATGTGTTCCATCTCACTAATTCCAGAAAGAATCTTACTTAATTGTCTTGCAAAGAAAATTGTTAACACATATTGTACCAGTAAATATTCTCCTCTATAATACCAGGCTTTACCAACCACTACATGTAGCTGCTTCATAGTCATTAAATAATTATTACTGAGCATAGAATACACATAAAACGACAGTCATTCACAGACAATAACTCTTCCTTTTAATCAGGAAATATTGAATATGCTTGTCTGTCTTGTCTGTTTTATTAATGAAAATACATATTAATTTTATTAGACATGTTAAGAACTTACATTTCTAGAAGATACTTAATATGTATAACCTGAATAAATCTCATATCACCATCAGGGGAAATTAACTTAGAATGTGCAAAACATAACCATGTCTATCTTTCTTGCATTAGTCTACCACCTGGCCTGAAATTCCTACTAGTAGAATCTACCCAAGTAGCAAAAAAGACAAATGTACATTTTAAATAACAAGAGATTTTGTTTCCACGGTAGGAAAAGCAGCAAACCCCCAGGAATTAATCATTACCACAAATCATTTTCTAGCCTAGAACAGGACCCAGAAAATGTAGGACAGAAATGGGGAGAGTGTCAGGTGGAAGGAAATTTTGTAAGATATTAAGAAATTATGAATATTAAGAATTAATATTCATCCAAATGAATAATTCAGATTGCTTGTATAGAGTAAAAGTTTAAAACACAGGCTTTGAAATCACTGGGACCTGAGTATAGACCCTGCCCCTGGCACTTACTGGCTGTATTGCCTTGAGAAACTTACCTAAACTCTCTGAACCTCAGTCTCCTCATCTACATAATGGATATAAATCAGTACTGACCTCATGAGGCTGTTGTATGAGACTGAATTATTTTGCAGATCTATTTCCATAAACTAAGTGTCTGACTCATAATAAACACTTACTAAAAGTTAGCATTCTTTGTATAGAAAGAAGAAATACTGAGGTTTAATTAAGACAGTAGAAGAGATGATGATGATAATAATGATCGTTGAAGGAAAAGTAATTGTTTTGTATAAGTAATTTATTAGGCATAAGCCATATAATATGTATCTGATTCTGTTTTTTTCTTAACTTTCAGTGTGCACCTAATTGGCCTATTGGTTTGGCAATGCGAAATTTCTGTGAGCCCAGTTACAGCTATAGTAACTGACATTTTCAATACCTCCGATGGTGGACGCTTCAAATTCCCAGACGGGGTACAAAACTGGCCAGCACTTTCCATCGTCATAATAATAATCCTGACAATAGGTGGCAACATTCTCGTTATCATGGCAGTAAGCTTGGAAAAGAAACTGCACAATGCCACCAACTACTTCTTAATGTCCCTAGCTATTGCTGATATGCTAGTGGGACTACTTGTCATGCCACTGTCTCTGCTTGCAATCCTTTATGGTAAGTACAATTTTATTAGTTTTTCAATCAGATTATGTCACAAAATTGTGTCAGGTACCATAGTAAACACTCACAAAGTAAATTATTTTATTTGTATCACTTGGAAAGTAAAGAAAAAAGGAATTGTGTAACAGAAGGAATTGGATGTATCATATTTATTAAATAAGTAACAGAGTCTTCAAAAAGTAAAGCAGATATTTTACATTAAAACAATACATAGATAATTAAACAATTATTAGTAGCCTTACAATGTACAGAATGGGACAGTGACGGATACATGCCCCCTCCCTGTGTTCTGGGCAGTACACATACCTAGTACCATCTCTTATACAAAGAAGGAAAAAGAGGCTCATCATTTTTAATAAACATACTTCAAGCAATCTTTTGAAATGTTTGCAGACTAAGTGCTTGGCACATAACAAACACTTAGTAGTAGCTTTTCTTCATGTAGTCAACAATTCACGTTTTTATAAGGAGACGGGATAACTAATTGTAATTTTGTAAAGGGTTTTAATTGTTCTTTTGATTTTCTGCCATCTCCTTGCCTGTCCTATTCATTTTATCCTAAGTTTTGTTTCTGCCTGATATTTATAAAGAACAGTCAGATTTGTTGGGGAGGAATTCGGTTCAGAGATGCAGGGGAGTCAGAATACAAGGTGAGGAAGGAATTCATTAAAGCAAGAATAGCATGGAATGGCAGCTGCCTTGCAGGCAGTAGAGACTAATGAAAAACAGAGAGAAAAGGGAAATTCATTGAACTCCTGATCGGCTGAGGCACATCCCCTGACAACTCCTAAAGCCAATGTCACCTGGTGTCCAGTGTCCACTTAGATCTTCATGGTGTGGGCATTAAGTCCCTACCACCCCAGGATTTTGGGCAGCCATAGAACACTGCATGTAGTGAGATTATGTTCTGAGGATTTCCCAAAGCAAAGAAAGGAGATTTTCAGGCAGACCACCAAAGAGCAGGATCACACAGCTGCAGTACCATCCAGGCCACCCAGGTGACAGGAACTTGCAAGCCCATATCAGAGCTGTCAGTGGCCCCTCCCTAAATATCTGATATCTGAAGTAGGACAGAGACAGAGTGAAGACTTGTTCTTACACCTGTAGAATAAAATGAAATAGTGAAGTAACAAAGACACCACGGGAAGAGCAGACAGACAAAACATAAGTTGAGCAGTGGTGAGAAGTTTATTTAAGGCAAAAAGGTACACAGTCTAAGAAAGGGGAGTATGGGCAACCTCAGAGAAGAGGCACCCCTAAGAGTTAAGGGTCTGGGGTTTTATAGGGCTTTTTGGGTAGGAATCAGTATAAGGCATGATGTATACAGGTGATACATAATTCTTTTGAGGTTTTGTCTTAAGAATAGGGTTATTTAGGTGACTGTTGGTCCAGGATCCCAGCATTCTTTGTCCACATAGGTTTATTTACACTTCTGGGGTCTGTCTTCTGCTGTGGTTACAAAGTTACTTGATTAAGGGGCAGAAGAGGAAAAAAACAGCATATAGGTTAGGTTAAAGCATAAACTGGGCCTTTTTCAGGCTAAGTAGATTTTACAATGGCATGATCTAATTGACACAGTGAAGACATGGACTGTGTATTTGGATACTTGTCTTTATCTGAGGAATATCTGGACATTCCAAGTTGTTCCTGGCCTTTGGAACTTCAACTAATTAACTCATTAATTCTGTGAGTCCTTTCTGGCTCTCTGGTTTTATATGGTTAACTATCTGAGTCCCTTTTACTGTGCTTTACTGGCCTTATTCTTCCTCCACCCGGTTCATGTCTATTTTTCTGCCTAACAAAATCAGTTATACAAAACTACAAAGTATCATTACTAGAAAATTGGTGAACTCAGTTTGAATTTAATTTCCCGTATGCTCATCTCACAAAGGAGTGAAATAGACACCCTGTTCCCTGGAGTTTCTAATGGAGTTAGACTAGAAGGAGTAATATTGAAGTGCATCTAGTTCTCAAATCCTAAAAGAAGATCACTGCATTTAGAAAATAATCTCTCACGGAACTTGAAAATCATTTCCTCTTCTATATACACAGTGGTAATAGGTTATCTTAAAACATAGACATTTTATAAACAGTGTTCCCAGAAAATATGCTTTTCTTATCCTATTGAGTTTCAATGATGCATTAACATCAGAGCATAAGTATTTTACTTGCTCAGTGAGCATTTTGCCTCTTTATAGCTCCAAAATTATGTAAGAAAATATAGCTCCAAAATTATATAAGAAAAGGTTATTGTAATTAATGTGTTTTAGAACGTATACTTTATCTTGTATCTATTTCATTTTGCCAGTTTCTTTCTTAAAACATATATGGGTGGTCAAATAATGGTATCAGCCTAAATACAAATCTAATACATCCATTCCCCTCTCCCCAACAGTAAAGACAAAAACAAATAAAACTACACAATACCATCACCAAATGTGGAGAACATCAGGTTCCAAATTATCTATAAGCAGAAAAATAAACAGGAGATCACAATATACTACTATTAGACCCCCACCACATGCTACTGTGTAGAGGAAGGGCTGTCCTGGAAAAGCTGCATGAAAGAGAGAAGAGGAAAACCAGTAGGAAGCCTAAGATTAGTCTAAAATCTTCACAAGGGAGAAAGTCTACCCCAAGTATGAAGATTCCAAAAAGTTTTTCTGGAAGCTCAGCCTTTAGGGAAGTGAGTTAGAAGTGTGCACAGGACACAAAAGAGTGGTCTTGGAAAAGGAACTCTTTTCAGGAAGAAAAAAGTTTTAAAAAGTAAGGAGAGGTAACTTCTGAAAAAAAATGCACATTGAAGGGAAAAAGCAAGAGGAGAAAATTTATCACCTTACAAGACAAAAATGTCAACATGTAAGGACCCATCAACCCTCCCTCATACTGTCCCCTACCATAACCCAAAAGCCCCCCAGTAAAGAAACCATACTGGATTACATGGAGAGAAGATAGTGCTCTTGAGCTTGGAATCTTGGAAACCATCCACAAACAGCCAGCCTTGTTCATACAAATACAAATACAATCAAATTTCATCTACACCAAGCTACTATAAAAAGAAAGCAGAATATGAAAATCAAAAGCATTTGATGAAAATTCTCACCAAAAAAGAATAAGAAGCAAACTATAACAAAATACTTCAGACAAAATATAATTTCCTCAGACAAGCATTTAAAGATAAGAAAAAATACCTTAAAGTACAAATCTAAAAACTAACAGGAAAAATTGACAAAAAAAATGAATTGGTCAACATGAAGCAAAAGTTGCTTGAATCCAAGAAAACAAAATAAGACAAAATCATATCAGAAATGAAAATTAAATTAAAAGTGCCTAAATAAGAATCAATTCATGTGAAAACTTAATAAGGAAACAACAAAGAGAATGGAGATGAAATAAAGAAAGAAGTAAAAAGGGTCAGAAAGAAAGTGTTGAAATGGAAGACCAGCAAGAAAGATGCATGTATAAAAGGAATCCTTCATAACGATAAAAAAATAGAACAGAATTAATTTTTAAAACTGTAATCCAGGAAGATTTTACATAAATAAGTCTGAATTTACCTGTTGATAAGGCTGACCCAGTACCAGATATTTGACCTGGAACAATCAACTCTGAGATATATCTCACACATTAGATTTTAAATATGAAGAAAAATTCTCAGGTATTCCAGGCAAAAATAAGTAATAGTTTAAAAGAGCAAAATAATTAGACTGGCTTCACCATTTACAAAAATTTAAAAAGCAAATCAACAGTAAAGCAATATTTTTTAAAAAGGCAACCATTTGTAGGATACTATTTCAAAGTAAAATCCATGAAGACAGAAAACAGATCATTATTTTCCAAGGATTAAATGGGAGGAATACATATAAATAAATTGTATATTAGAATTTTTACTGGATATAAATTATAGCTACATTTAGAAATAGAAAAAATAACTAAAAAAAAGTTTGAAACAAAGATTTTACATCCAGATAAGATGGCCACCAAACTTTTTATGAAAAGTTTAATTTTTTTTTAAACCAGAGAATTTTAAACCCCTGAGTCCTTCTTAAGAAACTGAATAGTTAATGTGATTCATCTAACAAAAGAATAATTGGATCGATTTCATCTAAAAGACTGATGATAAGTATTTAATATATTTAGTTAGAGCTACAATGAAAATAAAGGTGGTATAAGTGCAGAAGAATAGTGTTATATTTTATATGATATATATTATGTGTTATATTACTCTAACAAATTAGAAATGATGCAAGTAAAAATTGGTAAGAAAAGAGAAAGGGTAAGTGGAAGAGGAAAGTAGAATAATTCAATGGGTTTTTTTAATAAACAAAAGGTGGGAGTTTAATGATACCATAAACAACTGGCAAACTAGAAAGTCATTCATTTAATAAGAAAACAGGGATCTGAGGGCATTAAACATGATATAAATAAAACATGCTATTAACATGAGATAAAGTTAACCAGCAGAACAAAAAGACAAACCTTCCTAAACACTAAAAGAAATGTATTTAACAGAAGAGTAAAAAAAAAATCAATAGAGGAAGAAACACAGTAAGCCATAGTGCTATCAATATTATGCCACGATGTATGTAATATGACAGAGCTGAAACAAATATATCAGTATAAAAATAAACTTGAGTAAACCTAACTCACCATTAAAAATAAAAGATTTTCAATTTGTCTTAAAAATAAAGATCCAAATATATGCTATATATAAGAGGAACCCTTAAAACCCAGGGATTCATAATGGCGAAATATAAAAGGATAGGCAAAGATAATCCAAGCAAACGGAAACAATAAGAAAACAGAAATTGTGATCTTGATATCTAACAAATCAAGTGCCAAGGAAAAAATCAATAACCATGAAAAAGGATGTTTATTCATGAAAAAAGCCACAATTAACAACTAAGATATTGCAGTTAGGAATATCTATGCCCCAGTAACATAACAATGCCCTTTATAAAGGTAAAAATAAAGAACATGGAAGGTTACATTTA